AAAGATCAGTGGATTTTTGTTCTTCCCTTCAAGAATGTGTCAATACAGTATTTTCTGAGTCACTATCTCACTGCAGTTGAATTGGAAGGTGTAAGGTTTTTTTCGAATCTGATTAGAGAGGGAGTGCCTTGTCTGCTCAAACACAGTACAGTTATTATCCGGAGCGCTCATTTCCTTTTAAAACGTGAATAGTTTTATGCAACCATTAAGTGACACCGGATATGACTAGGTTAGTTACTCATAGCAATTTAGATATAATAAATAAGAAAGCAGATCTGGTTTCATCATCCCCCTCCCTTGATTCTTGGGGAGGGGAAAGTATTATTTTCTGCTTTCTAAAGAAACGCTTTAATTTGAGCTAGTCCACAGCGTTGTAGTCAAAGCCAGATACAAGTTAGTCTTAAACCACAATTTGGAGTTTGTTTTCATACAGAAACATAATGGAATCTTGTTGTATTTGTTCTCAGAGGAGAAAAGTCTAGGAAGGACCGTGACTTACTGAGAGAAGAATGGATTAATATAATACAATATATAGCAATTATGTATTTTCTTTACAATCTTTATACTTTGGAAGAAGTAAGAAAGTTACACCACAGCTTTGGCTGCCTACCCTCAAAAAATTAGTCTACTGCATTTTCTTTTTTCTTGAGGAACTCAGAGATACAATGAAATTAAATGACTTACAATGTTAAGATCAGATTCAAGCTCACCTTCTCTCATCTCTTAAATATATATATAAACATACAGCTTTGCTGTTATTCACCAGTTTTGGAGTGAGACTTTTTAAAGCAGCAGTAGCCTGTAATACATCTTCGCCAGTACCTGAACCTGGAAGTGATTAACTCATTTCTTATCCACAAGAAGACACAGAGATGATTACCATCTTATCTTTACACCTCTCTTTGGTCAGAGCTAAAAGACAAGCATTGTAAAGATGTGGAGAAATTTGGTTTTGGAAGTAAAATTCAAAAAGTGGAAACGTTTAGCAGAAATTCAGAACTGACTCTTGGTTTTACTTCTTTTGGTCTTTGAAGCCTGGAAGTTGTAGCTGAAATTCACATTAATTTACTCTCAGGACTTTCACTGTTCCTTCCCTGCTCTCAACTCCCTCCCACTCCTAATGGTGTCTGAGTAGTATAATGTACATCAATAACTCTAGGAGTGTGGCCCAGAATCCACCAGCTTCCAGAGCTGTTTTGTTACGCACACTTCTCTTGCTAGCCTGAGAGGTCATGCAGTAAACCTGGAGTAGTCCAGCCTGCTAAGATTTATTCCTACTTGATGGTTAATTACTTGTAATTACTACCTTTTTTACCTACAGGTATATTTTGAGGATTAATACATTAAGAAATGTGAGCTGCTCATCTAAGGAGATGCTCTTACCAGGACAGATGGGAAAGCCATGCTTGTGAGCACGGTGCAGCCATGATGCAGTGCTGCCATCTGGGTTCAACGCAGGCAGCACAGGCCATCAGCCCCTTACCTGCACATCGCCTCTGGGGCTTGGGAGACTTACCCACTACAGAACCCAAGGGCTTGTACCAACTGGGACCTGACTTCGATGTTGGTAGCCGTGTGACAATTTATAAATAGTTCTGATTAACGTTAAAAATAAGTGTGTTCCTAGAGGAACCTTTTTTTCTTTTTTTTGATTGCCAAGATGCATGGTAATATTTGCAACTCAGTATATCAATGAAGAAGGCAGCCACCAAGCCCTCACTGATGCCAGAGAGGTCCTCTCTTTCTTACTCTGTTTTCATCCATTTCCTTCCAAAGGAGCAAAGACTTCCAGCTTTCATCTGAACACAAGACCGACAGTATTGCACTGCTTGGCAGGATGATTGCACATCGGCACAAAAACATTGGCAAAGGCTACCTGATAACCTGCCTACAAGATGGCCTTGCCTTAGGAAGTGATGCTCTTTCCAGAAAAACAACTTCTGTGGCTGATCTCCAGCTAACTTGGATCTGAGAACATCAGTCAAAAGCCTTTTCTTCCTCTCTTCCCCATTTGCACCTTTTCCCTAGGTGCTATCTCTTATATTTCAACTAGAAAAGGTGGCCACTCTTGAGTTGGAAGTAAAACTATATGAAATAACCATTTCTTCTGCTCTGAGAAGAGATTGTTTACCTGCCTGCATTTAACTCTTGCTCTGAAAAATGGACTTTGATATGCTTTTATGTTCATTCAGCACAAGCACTCTGCTAAGTATTTTGATTCTTTTTCTCAGGAGCATTGGGATGGATTCCCATTTTGGCATGAATTTCTCACAGAGGTAGTACTAAGCAAGATGAAATCTATGACCTCAAAACCTTCCAACTTGGGTAACTAACTTCACATGACAGTGTCATGCTTCTGATTTTTTAAGCCCTTTGCCGTGTGGAAACTTGCACAATGACATGCCTAACTCTACTGCTTGCAAAACTCATATGCATCAATATATTTTGGCTTTAGCTGACACTCTGGGTTATAGAGGTACCATACAGTAAGTGTCAAGGATTTTTATTTTAGGTGGAACCAATTATTGAATAAGCAATGCTTAGTCTCATGCAAAGCGTGCTGCAAAGGAAATCAAAGGAAATATTTTCTTTGGCGTCAGGTGGTCTTGAATCAGACAGCACACATGGTATTAAAACTTAAGGAAAGAGCTAAAAATTAAAAAGGAGCCACATTAATAGTTAGTTTCTTCTTCAGAAAGGCCCGCTGGGCTAAAAAAGAAGGAGGTTAAAAAAGGAAATTTGTTTTTCTCTGCTGGACTAAAAATGGCATATTATGTTTGGTCATGGAATAAATAGTACTCAAATGTGCAAAGAATTGAACCAGAGTTTGAATGGACTCCATATAAATTTAAGACATTATTTCTTCAGTGGCAAAAGGGAAAAAAAAAAAAAAGAAAGAAAAAAAAAAGAGTTGTTTACTCTAAAAACTTCACAGGAAAATATAAATGCACTGAAGTCATCTATGAAACTTCAGGAGAGTTCAGACTCCTGAAGTAACAAGATGAAAAGTAAATTGTTTTATTGTTGCTTATTGGACATCACAACAGCCCAAAAGATCATTAACAGCTCAGGACCAGAGAGCACTGAGGGTTTAAAAATAGAAATGTGTCTGTGCCTTGACTTGAGACTTATTCACCCTTAAGCTATTTAAGACTGAAAAATATTTGTAAGACAGTATCTTAGAAACACAATGACATGGAAATCCAGAAGATTCAGACTCACAGTGTCAACATAATAGGGTGGGTATGATTTCCGCCTTAGATGCACCAACTGAAGTTATGTCTTTGCCACAACCTTTGGGTAGCAAACAGCAAACAGCGTATTTTAGCAACGGTTCAAAAATTATCTACACAGCCACTTCTCTAATCTTTCCTAGTACTGCCTGCATTTTCTCTTGGACTAAGTAAACCAGTATAATGATTTTCCTGTTTAATACATTAATGCATTGGGTTTGTGGGGTTTTTTTTTTTTTTTTATTTGATCAAAGCAGTGCTGAGACATGGGGTTTTGTACTTATTTTGTGTCAGAAGCATGCCAGGAAGAGATGGAATGCATGTTGTGGAGATAAAGTCGTAATATAGAATTCATCTGTATTCATACAAATATTGCCATCTTTCATCAAACCTGGCCCATATGGTAGCTGGGAGTCATATTGGGGTATGTTCAATTACTTCTTGATCACTTCCAGATCTCTGCTTCTCTGCATTAACCTCCTCTCCCTGCCCCCTCAATCCAGTGAATCCTTATCAGCATAATCCTGCCTCAAATTTGCTATTGGTAAAACCAAAACTTGTTTCTTGCATCACAAATAAAAGAAAACTTTTCATGAAAGTACCATAACCACAGTGCAAATCTCTTTCTGGAAGGCATTATCTTATATCTAATGAGCTCATATCTGGTATCTTCAAGACCTGACAAAACCAAACCAGTTACCAACTAGGCAGTGATTTACCTGCTTCTGGTTTTCATCTCCATTACCTCAGAACAGAATTCCCATCTTCTAACTAAATTTCATTAGTTAGAGCATTGGTATTTTCTGGTTAGATAGGGAGAATGGGTATGAAGGCTTGTCCTTTGCCTTCTCACAGAACAGGTAAATGGGAGGAGAAAAAATTGGAAATGGCAAGTCAAGTTCTGAGCCCAGCTTTGCCTGTACAGGTCACACAAGGCAATAAAAATGTGATATACACAGTGTAGCCTTTCTGCTTCCTGAGCTACTTCCCTTCAGAGCTGCATTCAGCAAGACACAGTCGAAGGAATCCCCGAGTTTTATTCCTTTAGTTTTATAATTTCATTTTTTTCTTAATAATTAATATTTTTTTTTCAATTTAAATGAACAACCCAAATAACATTCTTCCTCTTTATGAGCCCATTTCCAATGTCTTAGTGAAAGCTCTTACACCTTACATTCTGCTAAAAACATAACAGTAAAGTCAGAAGAAAATTAAAGCTCCCAAGATAAAATCCATCACTTAATACTCAGTGTCTGTGGTGCAGACATCTATGTCAGTGCTAGAAGCCAAACCTCCCTCCCTTTGTGCTCACGGAGACAGATGCATCTTAGGTGGGATTCATTTAATCTCAAAGTGGGTATCTAAAGCAGCTCAAACACAAGATTTACCTTTGATGTAGTCAGGAAGATGTCTATAAATGAAGCAGTCAATAGTTGCAAGCACATCTCAGTTATGGTCTCTGCTGTCTTGAGTATACAAGGAGCACTGGAAAGGGCATCACAGATCCAGTTCTAGACAAACTGTAACATTAATTGCTGCATTTCTCAAATCTAAGAGTACTCATAGTTGCACACTCAGAGCACAAGGAGGATTGGGAACAGAACCTGTCCCACAGGAGAAACGCTTGCATATTTAAGTTTATTTCAAATAAGTGTTCAAAGGAAAAAAAAAAAAAAGAACTAAACCAGATTTAGTATATATTTGCTTTTCTTAAAAAATGATTCCATGAAAGAGTTTTATAGTTTTTTTAGTAGTAATACAGTTTTTATATACAAAATTCCATTTCAAACAATTTACTGTACAAAAGAAAGTATAAGCAACTGTTACTAGTTCATGATTTCAGCAAATAATGAAAAATTCTGATAAGTATGTGTTCAGGATATAGTTCTACCATTTACAGGAATGTCAGTATTAAGTTGGGAATACTTTTGGATAAATATTTACAGATGAAATTCCCTTCAAGGAAGTTCCCTAAGATTTCTCTTCAGAATAGGTAGTTCACATTTGGCTTTCTTCTGGATCTTTTGGGCTGCCAAGGAATGAGAGGAAGAACACTTTGTCAACAAGATGTATGGACAGAATTCTGCTTGAATTATTGTCACTCACAGTTCTATTGCAGTCAGTGGGCCTGATCTGGTAAACACTTACTACCAGGCGTAATGCTTATTGTGTGAATAAATCAGGCAGGATTTGGCCCTACAGTAGTAAGCTATCATAAGTTACAAATTTTAAAAATAGTGACATTCCTGCAAGTCAAAATACAACAGAAACAAGAGTTAACAAAATATAAGCCCTTTATTAATAAAAATCTTTGGTTGGATCAATATTTTAAATAAGCTTCAAGAATATTTGGTTAATACCATTTTCTTTCTTCCACATAATTTCTTTTCTGGTACCTTCTTTGGACAGACTACAGAAAAATATCAAGTTTATCACATACTTTAAAACAAATAAATATATCAAAAGCTAAATACGGCATTTTTTTTTAAAGTTCTAGCATTAATCTTTAAATTATTTTGGCAAAGAAAAAAGAAAAGGAAAAAAGAAATAACTAACTTTTCTTTAAAACAGTCTTTTGACGTTTGGTTTTGTAACAAACCATACAGTAGTTAGACTTTAAAGAAATCTTTCATTTTTATTTTATTTTTCAGTTTTATATTTGTAACGCAAGTGCCATGGACAAGACAAAGCAATAAAAGAAATGAGGTTAATTGCACCAATATTATTTGGAAGTGCAGTTTATCATTTGACAAAGCAAAACTAAAATGTACTACGCTTAAAAAGAGTTGTACTGGTGGGATTTAGCTAGGCTTTGTATGTAAGGATTTTAGGCTCTACGGAAGCTCCTTGTACAAAAGATAGAGTATTTTAAGACAAAAGAAAAGTCCTGTAACTAACTGAAGGTCTGGTCCTGTAGCCCCAGTGCAGGCAAAACTTCCACTGAAGACAGTAAGTGGGACATGTTTTGGATTCACTCCTCCAGCACAGCCTCTGGGAAATGCCATTCAACAGCAGAAAATCTTCAGGGACAACTGGCTGTGAAAAACGGGTGCAGACTCCTTTCTCCTGCAGAGGGTAGAGGGCTACAGAGAAAAACCTGGCTGTTTTAGCACATCCCTTTCTCAATGGGGAAAAGGGAATTTCCTCAGCAACAAGAGTGTCCGAGTACTAGGCAGGACAGTCACCACAGCTCTACGTGTGCTCGTTAATTCAGGGTATTTAATAAAATGCTCTGATCATCTACCTGCTGGGAGGATCTCCAAAATTGTGCTGCTGCTGTCTGGCTGTGAGCGAGGAGCTGCTGGGGCACTGCTCAGACACAGCTGATGCAGCCTGGGGCACTGAGGTAGCTTCATCCACATCAGTCGGTCATTGATACAAACGATCTTTTCCAGATTCACTTTTCTGATGTTTCTGAAGAGAGCAGTGCCCCAGTGAAGGCCTTGGGTACACAGCAGGTTGCCACAAGTGCCCCACGCACCTGTGTGACACTAAAGCTCAGCTTGTTTTAGACCTGCAGCTTCAAACACAGATGTCTGCCAGCAGAGCTAAACCCTGTCTTGGAAAGCAAGTCAGTCTGGTGGGCTCAACGTCGGTTCTCTCCTGCCAAAAGGAATACTAGGGTACACTCTAAAGCTGATTTTGCATATACTTTACCAAGTTACCCCGTAGACCTTCAAGCCTGGGGTTCCAAAAATATTTTAAATTAGTAGTAGTATTATTACTTAAAATTTACCTTTATTTAAGTAATTAATTAATAGACTAAGGTCAAATTCTTAGAGAATATCTCTCTCAAGACGTACTAAGTACCTGCATTTATTAATGCTCGCCAACATCAATAGTGTTACCTAACAATGAAATATAAAAATTCCCTGCATTACTACTTGTGCAAAAGAAAAAACAGTATTATCAGAAATAGAATGTGGTCCTCCATATTTGTAAGAAGAGCATTTCTCACAAAGATGGGAGCAAAATGGCAGCACATCCTTCAGCATGCACCAGGTTGTCCATTAATCGAGTCCTGCCCTTTACATGATGGCTTGTGTATCAGTGGAATGCCCCAACATACTCAACTCCCTCCTCTTCTATACGTCGAGAGGATACGAGTGGCAGGAGGACAAGCTCCCACTGTGGCTCCTGGAGAGTCTGGGGCTGTGATTGTTACAATTTTCACCTTTTTTCTTGTCCTTGTCTTTCCAGGTTTCTAGCATTTGCAGCTTTCCTTGCTCTTCTCTCATGAAGACCTCCACCATGAGAACTTTCTCTTTATGAATCTGCTGACTAATGTCCTTGGGAATGTCTGGGATAATCCAGTCAACAAAGTCACTCATAAACATGACCAAGTTCTGAAAATGAAGTTGTGAGAAAATGTCAGCAAGGTCAAATGAAAGGATGAATGTAGGGAAAGGGCCATTTTTGGTGTACTGAGGAAGAATGAAGAAAGGACAATATTTAAGTTGGGATCAACAGTATGTCACAAGCCTGATATTGAGCCAAATTCACCTCAACTTCTTGTTCATGCTAGAAGCAGAGAAAAATGGCAGGCCCAGATCTCTATGGTTTATGTACAAATATTGTCACAGCCACATAGAAATTAAAAGGAAATGCTGTAATTGATTAATGGCTTTACATTTACCAGCTTACATCAGAAAGGCAAATGCCAATAGCAAAAGGTAAAACGATGAAAGTTGGTGAAATATATTCCAATGAAATGTTTCTGATTTAAAAACCTTGACTCAGTGAAAGGGAGATCTCTCAGAAAAAGATATCTTTTTTATTAAAAAAAAAAAAGTTTTTAAATGAGTTGTTTAGGTAAGGCAGACTTAAAACACTTGTGTCACAATAACCAGCATTGCTGTTGTGATTGAATAATGTCATTTAGCGAAAAATTACAAAATTTTGCCTTCTTTTTCAGATGTGAGTTAAACTCTTAACTGGGAAATTTTGGAAATTTAATTTCTTTGCTAGGTTTAGAAATTATTTTGGATAAAATTTATGCTGCTTCAGTGAATTTGTTGATGTCCTACTGGAGAAATTGGTGGGACCTAATTAGTATCAGCCTTGTGCTTTGCTGCTCCCTAAGGTCATTAAGTTGCTTCTGCATCAAACCAGTTCAGGGAATCCCTGAGGATGAATTTTTCCACTGGGTATATCTAGGCATGGGTGGGTGGGAGGAAGAGGGTGAATGAGGATGGGCAAATTGCTTTGCTTTGCTGAGAAATAAGATATTTTCTTTGGCCTAATAACTTCTTTCCAAAGGTGGCTTGCCTTAGATAACTGAAGAAATACAGTAACTCTCATATAAAAAGTGGCTGCAGTAGAACTTACCTGGAAAACTATCACAAATGCTAATCTTGCTGCTAGGACAGCCCAAAAATCCTTTGAAATGTCATACTTGTTTTCAGACCAGGGCGGTTCTCGATAATCTTTGTATCTGCAAAACAAGACTCAGTAAATCAGTGCTGTCATTTAGAAATCTCGGCACCAAGAGGAATTAATACAGTCAAACAGTACACTGAACTGTCTAAAAGCAAGTTCACTACTACAGCATAACACTGTATTAACCTCTCAGAAACAAGACACAGCGGAAGACCTCTCACAGCCTTCAAGTTTTACTCAAAATTGAAGTTCTTCAATCTCAATACTCCCTGATTAGTACAAATATTATCAATTCTGCATAAAGACAGAGTAAACTACACAGCTCAGATAGTTTATTTTCTTTTAAGATTCATAAAAACAACCCCCAAACCATATATTTTTCAGACTAATTTTAGAGACAAAAATACCGATCTCAGATCCATAGAGTGTGTTATGGTACATGGTGTTCTTGTTGATGATTAATTAGCAAAAGATTGCAGCTAAATTTTGCCATATAGCGATAAGGTGAGAATGCTGCCTTAACTATGGCTTACAGAAAATCTATGAGCTAATCAACAATAACTTGTTAGAAATGGGACCAAGAAAAAAAACACTAAATTTAAAAACACAGCATCCTGTCAACAGTTTGGAAGATTTAAAAATCCCTGGAATCTGGAAGAAATGATGGAATGGGAAGAAGAAAGAGGCTGGGTCTAGAAAGCAAATAAACCTGGCATTTTTTATGGGACCACAACACTAATGCTTCCATTCTGTAAGTTCTGTGCTAAAAACAAGTTTGACAACCTCATTTATCCTGTGCCCAGAGATCACCAGAAATAAACCAGGAGAAAGTAAAAGCAAGCAAAGCTAAAGCATTTGCAATTTTGGTTGTTTTTTCTTTCATCTCAGAGTGATTTTTCTGTTCAGCAATCATTTCAGCAGATTAACTTGCACTATTCAAATTTATAAAGAATATAAATTTTAAAAGAGTACAATTATAAAGATGGGGGTTTTCCCTGGTCAGTTTGTGTAATTATTTAGTATATGTATACCAAAGTAATCTTTTTTTTTTTTTTTTTTTTCTCCCACGGAATGTCTCTTCCCTCCTTGTTCTCCTCTTCCTCTTCTTACTCCCACTGTCCCCCTTTCAGTTTTGTTGGTCTAAGTGCTTTCAGTGATATATTTGGGTTTGGTCCCCAGTTCCAAGCATTAAAGCATTTATACTGAAGATGATGGGTATCCAAGGAAGCCTAGGCAAAGCACGCATTTCAGCACTGACCTAGATTGCTTCATAAACTGAAATATGCAACAATTATTTTCCTTTAAATATGAAAAGAATATGTATAAATTGTTACAGGCATGCAGATTTCCTGTACAATGACAGTTTAAGTAAGTTTTAAGTTCCAGTGCTGATAAGGATGCTATTACTCTCATCAGGAATTGCTACAGAAACTGAACAAAAATAGAGACTGCACTGTACTGTGCAGTCATGTTCATTTTTGACCCAGCGCTGAGGGATCTGGTGGAGTTAAGAACAGTTGGTGTGAGGTTAATGGTTGGACTGGATGATTTTCAAGGTCTTTTTCAACCCAGATGATTCTATGATTATATCAATAGCATGTGATATAACAACATGACATCAGAGTAACATCATTTTGTTCCTTTAAAGCATCATTGTGCTGTTTATCATTATTCATCTCCTTTTCTAAAAAAGGGGATACATAATAATACAAATCTTTGCATTAACACTGAATTTAACAATGCTGATCTCTATTTCCCAAAATAAGCAGTACTTCATCATCAGGTTTTGTGGTTGCTTGATATGTAAGCCAAGACATTCAAGGGAGTGGATCTATCTGATAGCTACCAAGGAGCTAAAAAGGTATTGAAAATACAGGGGACCTGCCCCAGGAATGTAAAAATTTGTCTCATTCTTAGTCAGCTATGAAAATACTTGAAATTAATGATCACTCAGGAGAGTACCTGCATATCTGAACCTCGTAGCCAAGATCCATGGGGTCGTTTGGAGCTGTTCCTGCTTGAAAATCGCTGACATTAAAAGAGGATAGTGTATGGTTCACGAAGCCATGCATGGTGCCATTCTCACTGTACATATACAGGTACACGAGGCGTGGAATGAAGTCGGATGTGAATGAGATCACAAATGCCTAAGCCATAAGAGTAAAGAGTGAGCGCAATATTCCGGCAGTGGTTAAGTTAACAATATACTTGAGTATGTCCGGCCCAAACAACTCACACAACTCAGGGACAGCTTCAGAAAACAAGGGGGGAGACTGCAGCCCACAGCACCTTAAAAATGAAGTATTCACTGCTGCAGCAAGGCAGTATTTACTGCTTACTCTTCTGAGTTGCAGAATACTAGATGGAGTAGTTCTATGCCAAATGAGATTTCCATGGGGATAACAACTTGAACGCCCTAGAGAACGAAGCGGCCGTACCCCCCAGAACCAGAAGACGACAAAACATGGTGCTGCTTCCCCGTCCCCCAGTCACAGCTTGTCCCTGGTGCATTGTATAAGGTCCAACTGATGGATTTCCAAGTACTTTTCTGTTCTGCAAACAACTGACAGTGAATTGACTCTTTAAATTCTCATTGCATTGCAAAAGTCGTTTAATTGTATGTGTTTAACTCCATCAAGATAAAAGGATAAGCAGACTGAGCCATGTTTTATTTTTATCATCACAAAAATTTTGTTGTATTTGGTTATTTAAAAGGTTTTCTAAAAACATCATACAGAAAATGCAAGACAGCCAATTCAGCTGAGTTCTTCATAACTTTAGCCTTTCTCATTTATCACTATTATGAAACATTCTCACTGACATAAATCTCATGTACAATGTGGAACAAAGACAGTACAAAATGTTTTACTTATTTTATGATAAAGAGGGGTAGTACACAGATCAAAGATGGAAAAATAACACTGGATAATGATGAAGAGAGACTACATGGAAGAAAAGAGAAAAATAGAGAAATTATTTCCAAAGGAAAAGAGGAGAAATGGTAAAGACAAATTAAGGCAGCATACCAAATAAAAAAAAAGAATGGTTTGGCCATAGCACAACAGACACCTGTGGGCAAAACGAAGGGATTTCCAGTCTGGATAAAGAGGGAAAAAATGAGAGTGCCCATGGACACATGGCCGTAAGCCCTACATGGCCCCTGTTTTGCTGCATTGCAAACGTGTTTTCAGCTTGTTGTTCAGCTTTTTTTTTTTTTTTTCATCTTTCCCAGGTGAGGTGCAGTGAAGATGATTATTGTGGATGTCTATTCACATAGAATATTAGACAGGTACATAAATGCATATATTAAAGGCTGGGATGTTCACTGCAGAAATAAACAAAAATATTTTCATGGCTTTTCAGAGCTATCTGAGTGAGAGCAATGCAGTTCGAGGTCAGAATTTCAATAGAGGGACACTGTGCTCTGATAAGCTGAACTAATTCACACCCAGCTGACTACCAGATTCTAAATAGGTTTTAGCACTGAAGTTAAAAGATACATTTTCTTTGTTATAGTATTTCAAAAGAGCAAAAACAGGCAGCTGTGGTCTTCTTTGTTTGAATGACAAAACTGTTTTTATGAAAATGTTCTGGAAAAATGCTGCAGTGACTACTTACTATTTTATATTATCGCTACTACTATCACAACTTTAAAATAAACACTGCCTCCGATTCTCTAATATTTCAGAAAAATTCTAGATCATACACTTTCACTTGATTTTAAGGGATTTGTGCTGAAACAAAACTAATGGTGCAGAATGGAAAAGCCAGCCTATTGAATTAATATTTTATTCATGCCGAATTACTTACATTTATGATGACAGCAAGCTTTCCAATACCTCTGAGGATATTATACCAGATTCCTAAGGAAGGAGATAAACATGTAAATGCTGTTGCAGTCATTAAAATCAGATAAATTAAATTTTTAGTTAACAGGGTTGGGAGCACTTACGACTGTGCTGAACTAGAGTTATATTTTAAATTAAAAAAAAGAACAAATTATCAGAGATTAATTTAATGACCTGTAAGTAAAGGCAGCCCAATTCTGTCTTCCAAAACTATGTTTAGGCACCTATTTTTTTGAGGTTTTAAGATAAGAGCTTCTCTGAGGAAGAGGAAGGCAAGTGTGAGACAGAGAAATGCCAGCATAGGTAGAAACAAAAAAAACCATAATGAAATTTCATTCAAACTTCTCAGATGCCTGAGGAAAATAAGAAAGCTATAGATAGGGAACTGGAACCTCCACAGATGTGGTGCAGAACATACTGGTCTACCAGCTTGACGGATCTATCTGAATCTGTTTCTACATCTCATCACTACTGATCCTGCCTCACTTTCAAAAAAGGAGTAAAGCTCCAGTGGAGCCACTCAATGGGATTTTTCCATCTGCATCTGGAACCCAAATACACACAGGTTTTCTCAGCGTGGACTCTGTGCATACAAAATGTAATACCAACCAACCCCAAACTGACTCAGGTTCAACCCCTCTGGGTTTAGTCTGAGGATAATGCATGAAGGCCCATAGCTCTGCCCCCTCTCCATCTCCAGATCCCATTCCTCATGGGAAGGGCTTCTCTGAAGTCTACATAAAGTGCTGGTTTAATGTAGATGGCTATGCACCCTCGTGCCTGGCCTAACAGTCTCCTGGTCATTAGTGACAGCTTGAAAATTTCTCGTTCTCAGCAACCTTAGCCCACAGCATCAAATGAGCCAGCTGCAAACCACTCCTAAGCAGTGTTGTGGTAAAGGCAACACCATGACAAAACACACAGTGTTCAACTCTAGGATAAGCCTAGGGCACAACAAAGAGCCCAAGGAAAAACTCTGCCTGCACAACACCAGAATGAATGCTGAGTTTGGTAACATATCATAGATTTCTCTGCTCTTGCTGACTAGATCTGTAATACGAACAGCTATTTTAATAACTCAGAAGTAACTGACATTTGGGAGAAAAAGCTTCCTCATCACATATACCCTGTTAGCCCCCTGCAGTAAGGGGAGGACTGCTCTGTTATCACCATATGACTGCAGAGCCCAGTTCCAGCTGGATTCACTGCAGCTTTCAAGCTTTACCCTTCCAAAATTCATGCTGAACAGGGATGAAGGGATACCCACAGACTTTTGAGTCTCCTCTCAATCCTAAATGTATTTCTCCAGCCCAGTCCAGACTTACTAAATGCAGAAATTTTTGCTTCTGCAAGAAAACAGCATTGCCAGGAAGAACTGTTGATCTGCAGAACCATGCAAGATATTTCACTATTGTATTGATCATTTTGATTTGAAAAGTGATATTCTTTACTTAATAAAATATTAATCTGATTTAAAGCTCTGGTCTTTCCATTTTAAAACTAAAGCCTCGATAAATTATAACAGTTCACAGTTAAGCCACAGTCTAATGTTTTGAATTTTCCTATAAATATCTTCCTGTTAATGAAACTAACTCAGCATAATAATATCCTGCCATCAATCCAGGAATAAACAAACAGGGATAACAATAGCAACGTGCACTTACCTATATCCTTTGCTCTGACTGCTACCGGTCTCCTCAGCTCAGTAACAAATTTTTTTGCATCTAGACGGATTTCAATGATGTTGTTCAACAAAGCAAACAAAGGCGCCAGTGGGAAGGATGCAACGAATAAAGTTACAAACCCAAACTGTATAACTGAAAAGAAAAAGTAACTGCTTCAATGGCTGTGGTCAGTATTTATTGAGGGCATGCATCACATGTCAGTGCCATCCCCCCAGATTCCAACAAGACAACCTGTGCTGGGACACTAAACCATGTTTTCTGCATCAGGCACAGTTTGCCTGACCACTGCTCCACTTGGGCATTGAAGGGCCAGTTGCCCCTCTTTCAAAAGGCAAGGCAAAGTAACCAGGAAGATGGGGAAGCATTTTAAACAATTCTGCTGTGGGTGAGGCTGGCACAGGAGTGATCTGAAGGAGTGAGATTATAGCAGTGATCATGTTAGCTCTGCATAAACTTGCCATGCTCCACCCAGCAGGTTTCTAGCCCTCACTAATCCCACTGGAAGCTTTCTCCTCGTGGACTTCAAAAAGGACATGACTGATTGTCCACCTCCACTGGGAATAACTTGCTTTCTACAGCCTGGGATCACATCTGCTTTTGTTTGATAAGGACAACACATCGGTGTCATACCCATCCTGGTATCCATCTTTCTCATCCTCTGTTAATTTTAAATGCTCATCTCACTAACTGCATCTTTTCTCATTTTTAGGAACTGGCAGCATGACCTCATATTTTGTACCATTAAATTTCAATCTGTTTCAGCTACTCTGAACATCAAGGTCATCAGATATTATAATTTGCCTTTGAATTTACTAGGCATGCCAATTTTGGGTATTAGTAGTCTTCATTATCCTTTGCCACTATTTTTGCTTAGTCATTCCTTAAAATACTAAATAAAGTTGCTCTTTTAAGACAGATCCTTCAGGAATGTCTGATATGGTAGCAAACAGCATTATGTCAAACAGTTCTCATCCTTTCCAAGATTGAAAGTAGGAAAAGAAATGTAGCTGTACAGCCACATCAGTGTGGAGCTGATATCCAGTGCTTAATTTCCCTATCACTCATTCAACATAATAGATCACCTGAAAAAAAATTATATGTGATCTGTCAAGTACAACCTGGTCTGCAGGCACGTATCTTTCTCAGAAGATTTAGTCCAGATTTCAGAAAACAGAAACAATCTGGTGTGAGAATACACAGTGGAAATTGTCAAATGTGAATTAAGTAACTTATTCCCAATGTCGGGTGCAACTGTTGATAACATATGCCTCACAATCTCAAGTTTACGCCATTTAATCATTTGCACTTGAAATCTGACAGTGACGTGTCACATGACTTGAAAGAAAATATCTAAAATATAGTGCTAAAGTAAGAGCTCATGAACAGCAGAGAGCACAATTCATCCCTGAAGCAGCCAGTGGCTGGCTGGAATATGCTACAGTCCAAGACTATACGCTTCAATAATTAAGTTATGCCTCACATCCATTGTCCAACGAATCTACAGTTCAAAAACCTCAGCTCTCCATCCCAATTAGTCATAATAATTATGGTTTAAAATGCCTCCTTTCCACCTCACTCACTCATTTCCATATATTCAGGGGTAAGTCCAGCAAAAGGCTCCAGGTTATAATCCACTTCGTAACGCTGTTTTTTTTTCATGTGCTCTTCATGGTCTAAAGAACGCCGACGCTTTAATTTCATGTATCGTATAAATTTCTTCATTTTTCTGGGGGAAATGAAAATTATTCATTTAGTTAGCATGCCATTCTTGACACAGTGCCCATTTTTTCAGTTATTTTACACTAACAGATACAATAAGCTCCATGCCTATTTTCATTAAAACTGTGCAAGAGCCACAATATGCTAAAAGTATCTGGGATCAGCATATACAGGTACTGAAACACGGTTATAATTCAATCACATCTTCAGTATTACACCTCTTGCTAACTCGTAGGGAAGCAATAGATTGCCTAGCACTTTTCAAAGGCATCTGCATTGCTGGATGCAGTTGCAGCCCAGATGCAGGTATTTCTAATACAGCAGACACAGGCCTACTGCAAAAGTCCTGCAGGTAGCCCATGAACCATGTTCATGTCAAGGGGCAGTAGATACACAGTGTATTGCACGCATCGTAAAAAAACGTGTTTTTTTAAAAAAAACAAACCCAAACTCGCTACTTACGGGATGCCAATCTCAAATAAATTGTTCTGAATCAGCTGCTTGCCCAACATGATAATACTGAGCTGGATACACAACTCCATTAGGCAACCGCCTGGAGCACACTAGGGTGGACAGAGGAAATGTTGGTCAGAACATCTGCCACAGCCCTGTGGCAGGGGAAGCTGGTGCTCCCACCCGACATGATCACAGACAGGGTAAAATGCAATTACCTCTTCCATTCGGAAAGAATGGAAAATGTAGACGTAGTCCCCTGGACGTCCAACAAATCTAGGGCACAATGGTTAGAGTTATAAACTTCATATGTATTTTATACTTTTTATATTTGATTTCTAAAGACATTTATGTCCAACTCTACGGCTCTGCATGGGACTACCTAAAGTTTAGTCTTGAAAAACTGAATGAGAATAATTATCTTTGGTGTTGCTTTAAAGAGAAAGTCCTGTTTACCAAGTAAACAACTGCAAGTCTTGTGTCCTACAATACTACAGGTACATCTTGGCAGAAATCCTCTAAGGTAATCCTCATTTCTGTTGCATTAACTGGAATGTGCCACATGGAGTATTTATTTCAGCCTTGTGCTTTCATGCTGGTTGCAAGAAGAGAGATGATACTTGCTATGATATAAAAGTTAAGAGTAGTAAATAGACAATGGTAAATAGCCTGATAAGGGGATTGTTTCTGAATGTACGAAATTATGTTAACAAAATGGCTTTAACAAATTTGAAACAGCAGAGTACAAGGTCCCTGCTTTATCCCATGAGGCTGCAGAGATTTTGGGTCAATACTGAGGAATTTTTAAACCAGATTGAATTTATCGTCCAACTATGGTCTCAGCTCAGCTACAGCTGTCTCATAAGCAGTAAGCTGAAACCCTGAACAGCTTTTTGCATTACTCACCGGCCTTTGAAGAAAGCAACATAGAAAATGGGTGTGTAGGCATTGACAAATTTCAGCAGGAAAGCCTTAAAAATCAACCGCTCTTCAAAATTCTTGTCAGTTTTTGGCACCTCTGGAACCAATGTGACATGGATAAGAAACATTAAGGAATTATCCTACCTGGAACATTTCAAGATCTTATAAATGGGGACTTTGGAAAACTTCATCCATCCTTTAAATAAAGAGGTATATATTTATAGCTATATATGTATATGTTAAAGCAGTATGACCTCACTGAATTCATTTGTCAATCTGCTGAGGATCCCACTGTTCAGATGTGTTACAACAGTAATTCCAATTTCATTCCACATCTGGCTGACCTACACGACATTTGCAGATGGACAAGAACTTATATGAAAAGATTTCTGGACCTGTTGTCACCGATGTTTTTTGGAAATGATTCAAAACAAATTTTTTAAAGTGTTTTTTTGCACTTAACAATTCTGTGTTTCTCAACACGTCTTAAGCCAATTAAAAAATGGCAGAAAATGAAAACAGTAATTGTGTGATATAGAAGAGTGAAGCTCAAGATTAGGTATAGGAATTTCTGCTGTATCTCCATCATCCATAACTGGATTAGTGATTAGCACTACCACTGCTGAAAGAAAAACTTTAAAAACAAAGCCAAATCCATGTGCGCTTTGATATTTGAAGTATTAGCTGGTTACAATTTTAGCCACACAGTCGAATTTCCTGGGTTTGCTCACCAGTTTGAAGTTAATCATGAAAGCCAGTAATTTGCATCCTCTCATTTAAAATCACTCTAGCAAGTATCAGTTGAGGATTTAAACCTACCAATCTGAGTCAGCCACCTTGCGATGCAGCCGTATACTTCATCCAGGATGATGATGACGACCAAATTGATAATGACTGCGGTGGCAGTGACAGTGACCCTAACGCTTGACCGGCCAGAGGGAGTTGAACTGATTGCCAGTGCCGCTGCAGTCGAGATCCTGTATATTATGACTCCAAACACTATAGCAAACGTCAGCCCAACCTGCGAGTCAGAATAGCACAGCCTCTTATTAAAGATTTAACTATAAATACTTTGCTTGGGACTTAGCAATGACCTTAAAAATGGGATCTCTGGGCCACATCCCAAATCCACCCAATTCTGCATTAAGGCTTCCAATCACTTTGATGAACTGTGGGAAAAGATCCTCTTTTGCTAGTAATTGGATCACCACATGAACAAATTGTTACAATGGCAAAGAGGAAATGGCAAAATAGAAATACAAGCTCTTGAAAATATTCTAAAATTATATTAGATTATGAAACAATAAAATGCTTGAATTTTTTCACTGGGGAAAAGCCATTGCGAGCCACACCCATCTGATAAGGTCTGTCATGGTTTCACTAACATTTCCGTCACTTCTGTTCTGTACAATGACTTGGTAACATACACTTTGGGTTTTGCTGGGTGATGCTTACCATGAAGATAATGCCAACAAAATTGGTTAAATAGGCTGGAAAACGATCCTTCCATGTCAGCTTTTCTTTATCTGTCTAAAATTTGGGGAGAAAAAACCAGTACATTTAATAAAGATGGAATGTGTGATCTGGCACGTGACAGAAACA